TGTTTTACTTCAAGACCTACTACTACTATTTGACGGCATTGTTCGGATATAATTAAAACTTCTGGCTGCTCCTCTGGTATGCGTTGGTTTTCCAAAAATATACTTATATATTTGAGTGTTCATCAGACGCTTTAAAAGTACAAGTCCCTGGGCGGAGGTAGTGGAGTTGTGATTGAACTATACCGAGACATACTTGGATAACGTCAGAGGAATTAGTTACAATGTTGCCACCTGATTAAAATTTTTTAATAAAAATGAAAGTTATAAAATAAAAAAAAGTCCTTCGAACTAAAAAACGTTTCCGAATATTTGCAGTTAAAACATATTTTGGAAGAGTTGCCATCTGTTTCAAATTTCAATAAAAAAGATTTAAAGATAAGTTAGCATTTGGGTCATAAAGCATCGTTAAATCATAAAATCATAAATTTGTATGCTAGTGTTAAACATTTGCGTTTGGATTGCATACTAAAAGAGGTTTACGCAAATACAGCTCTGAACTCTATATTTCGGATCGTTATAACTTATAACTATATGCGACTATGTGAAACCCCTCATTACTAGTAGCTAAAAATGTTTGAAATGCTTACAATTCAAAATATTTTCGAGAGGGGTTGCCACCTTTTGACAATTGCGAAATAAATTATTAAAGAAAGAAGAAAATTTTAAAATAAATGAGCAGTATAAACTAAAAAAGTTTCAAAATTTTTACAGCTAAAAATATTTTCGAAAGGGTTGCCATCTGTTTAAAAAAATTCAATAAAAAAAATTGTTCAATAAAAACAAAACACTTTAAAAGAAACGCTTCAAATGCTTACGATTAAAAATATTTTCAAGCAGAGATGCCGCCTTTTGACAACTGCGAAATAAAAAATTAATTTAATAAATGTAATGTTTTAACAAGAACATCAAATTAAATAGGATAGAAAATAACCAAAAGTCATTGAAGGCCATCTCAGTCGTGGCTTCTATTCAGTTTCTTGAAAATATGAATGAGTCCAATTTGATGATTTCTTTCAAATATGTTTTATACCATTTATTATTTGGTATTTTTCTGTTCTCTTTATGGTGTCACACTGCATCTTTAAGCTTTCACAAACCCTTCCAAATTAATGCGCAACATATTGGGGCAAATACGCTTTGTAATTGCAATAAAAAAACAGCAAATAACAAAAAAAGACAAGAAGGTTAACGATAGCCAAAGGTAATTGCAATAACAGCAATGACAACAAAGCCGACCCAGCTGTCCGTACAAAATCAACAAGCACCCGAGAAACGACACAAGAAACAATGGAAAAGTAATGGAAATTTTCGCAGACTTTGGGAAAGAAAGCAAATGCAATTCACAGAGCAAATTTAATTTTATTGCCTACAAGAAAATGGACGAAAAAAATAAATATTACGTGTGGAAACACGAAAACGGCGAATGAGTAAATGAAAGATATATATTTATGCAGGCGATTGTGTGAATGTGTGAGTAAATGGATGTCTGTTTTAATGTCACCTACATACTCTGGAACAAGCGAATTGAGTTGGCGTAAAAAGCATGACTCAAGAACTTATTCAAGTTATTTTTTCTAGGCAATAACTTAGAAGTTATGTGGCATGAAGCTGTAGGACTCCGTACGCTGGTCCCAGTTCCAACTCCCAGTTGGAAGTGGGCGTTCTGCTCTTCTTCTAATTGAAAGCGTATAAAATGTCGCAACTTTTAAGGCTTTTCCTTTCGAAAATTGTAAGTTATTACAACTAAATGGCAAGTTTTTTCTATTTTAATATATTCTGGGGAAGAGCTCATTTCGAACACGCCACAATTGGCATCATAAAAAGCGAAGTGAATGAGTTTTCCCGTTGGGTACATTTTCATTTATTTCATGCATTTGATGGTTGTAAGATATGATATACAGGGTACTCGTGCCCGTGTATACAACAATTTGTCATACAACAACCACCCTTCCGTCATAAAAATCGTATATTTTATTGCAGCCTAAGCCTATCAGCAACGGTGGCAAGAAGAAAAATAAATGTACAGTCAAATACCAATACACATGCATACATATGTACAATTAAAGCGGGTCGATTTTTTACTGTCATATCCCGTATGTTGGTAATATCTAGAACCTTCATGATTCAAAGCAACTTTGCTCAACAGAATATGGGTCTAAAGCCGATTTCGAGCCAGTGACTTTTAAGGCAGAGTTTAAAAACTTGTAATGGGTTGTGTGGCAGAAATGCGCTGTATTTGTTCGATTTTGCCGATTCCGACAAATGACCAAAATAATACCAAAATGCACATACTTATTAAATTTCATTCCGATATCTCAAAAATCAACGAACACATTTTTATGATCCCTAAAAACGTAGCCTCAAAAATTACTAACTCGAAATTGGTTTTAGATCCATCTCTTTGGCAAAGTTATACTGAGTGATCTGTCCCGCATACGAGATTTTTCTATTGTTTCGCCTCCTTGTAACTCGACCCTCTCTAATGTATATATGTATATATATGGCTCTGTGTCTAGATGTAAACCTTCCTCAAATGTATGTAATATTTATATTCACATGTTTCTACAGCGCCTTAAGGTCACTAAATGCGTGTGTGCTTTTCTCTTTCCAAACTCTGCGTTTCTATGCAAATTTCCGACAACGTACGAACACGTGTTTGAACTCGTTTAGCTTGATTGCCTCAATTTCATTAGTGATGTGCGTGTATGTCAAATTGACTGATGCGAGACGAAGTGAAATTCATGAGTTATGGGGAAGAAGCAGTCACTTCGGAAGCAGTGAGAGGAAGCGGCAATAATTTTGAAGCACGTTTGTCAAACTGCGACAGAAACGCAAAGTCGCTGCTTTCAAATAGATTGCCCACTTACTTACCCCGGTCATTTATTTAGGAAACCCTTTTATGGCATACAAGACATTTTCATTAATTTGTTTACAAATCGGTTTGAATGTGGAAAAGAGAGGATTAAGAAAAAATGGAAGGGTTGTTCTTATTTGTATTGAAATAATATTTTTTGTATGTAAAATGTAAAGTTTTTGGTTTAACTGAACAGTTTTTGAATAGTTTGAATAGTTTTTAATAGATTTTTTTTTTGAAATTTATGTGGTAAGTACTATTTTGGTATACAGATGTGGGTAGGGACAGTTAAATAAATGTGTTCATATGTATAACAAAAAAAATAATTCAATATTGGTTGTATGCTAAATAAGTTAAAAAAAAAAATATCTCCTTGATTGACGAATCAACGGCCAAATGTAACTAAATGCAGGAGATCTATCTACATATTGTCACCTAAAATGCAAAATAACATAACACCACTTTTCATAAGTTCACGATGTAATAGAAACCACTAATATCGAAAAAAGTTAGTTTTGGTTATAAAATGGTTATATATTGGTTACGAATTGGTTACATATTGGTTATATATTGTTCATATATTGGTTACACATTGGTTATATCTGACAAAGGAAGTTGAAATTTTTATGCTACACATATGTTGTATGTTGTAGTGAATCGTAAACAATAAAAAACTTAATTTCGATTTTTTGGATAATACGTTTTTTTGCATTTAAGGTGATGATTTCTGCCTCCAAAATTTTTAAATGAAATAGTTTTATTTTTATCATTAAATGGTGTTATTTACTAATTGCTATTTTAAACAGGAAAATAAAAAAGAAATAAAACTCGTTGTGGCATTTTAACAAAATAATCGAAAATCGAGAAAAATATCTTAATATCAGTTTTTTTTACACTGACAAAGGTTATCAGGCGCAAGAGTATAAAAAAAAAAAAATTTTCACCTTCCCGTGAAAAAATGTATGACCCTAATGTACAACTTAGTTACTTGATAGCAAGAAAAACCACTGCTGGATATTATTATAAAATTTCCATGGACTTTTATAACATTGTATTACAATAGGAAACCTGAAGAGTGTTCCATCAAAAATAAGACTAACATACATACTCTTTATATTACATGTGAATGCATATTAAATGTCACATTTGTTTACTTTGGAAAATGAAACTTCCTCGTTATGCTTAGACAAAAATATTTATACATTTTACTTACGTAGAAGACTTCAAGAAAGGCATGGGTTGATTTGGTTGCATCACCCCTTTCAGTATAAGCTGACAAATACTCCATATAAACGTATGTACGTGTATGTGCATGCAAATTGGTTACGCACACCAGTTCATACCCAAAATTATGGCCACTTTTAATGTTCAACAATTCCGTGTACTTAAACTTTTATAGCTGCTTTTTATTGCTGCGTGCCTTTCCTAATGACACTGTCACGCTGGCTGCCACATTCACTCACATCTGAAATGTGTATGTATGTATATAATAAAAGTGAAAGAAATACAAAAGGCAATCTGCGAAAATATTTCAACACATGCGACAACCTTTTCCACCAACCAGAAACATACATATAAACTTGCATACATAAATGTTTAATATTGTTGTATTATATAAACCATATTCTCTCTTACATGCATATATTATATGTATACACATGTACCTATTCACATATGTGTATTTTTTGGTTTTTCTTTTTTTATCCCAGTCTTTCAGCGTCCTTCATTTTCTGCTCACGTTTATTAATTAATTTGTTTTGGCTTTGTAAGTATGTCTCACCTCATATTTGCGGTATCCTACAACACGTGGCTAAATGCCATATATTACATGTATGAATATTTTCTCCCAACATATTGCTAGTAATATTCTTAGGTAATTTCATGTCCTTGTAATCATGTGTAGCACACACCACATCATATATATTCTTATATATACATATTTTAAGCATTCGCAGCTTGATCGTAATTAAAGGGTGTTAGCTTTGCACAGCAGGATGCTTTTTGTGGTATAATTTGAGGATATTAAGGGATTTACCAAAAAATATTAATTTTTTTTATTGTTTTTTGTGGTAACTTGATTGCTGTTATTATTATGTCAAAATAAATCATATAATTTCTTTGACTACAATTAATACTTTAAACTGGAATTGCATCAAAGGATAGTTAGTTTGATTTATGCTGAAAACTAAAAAGCATAATAAATATATTTAATACATATATTGAAAATAATATTTCAGATTACCATATAATATCTTGAAAGGTCGTCAATTAGTTCAGAACTTGTACAATTCAAAGTAGGATAGCAGCTTATTATCGCATTCTTAAGAACTGACTTCCTTTCTGCAGAAGAAAACAAAGCAACTGCCAATATTTTGCATATTTCTTTGCATATACAAGTACTTATACTTACATGGGAGAGTTGATTAATTTGTCATTAAATAGTGCAAAAAAAAAAGAAATTTTTGTTAGCAGTATAACAGATTTCCCAAATAATTTTGAGAAACTCAGAGTTGAAGATCTTGTGTAACTGAAAAAATTTGGATTCTCTTCGTAAACATAGAGCCGATTGCTATAGCAGTATGTTTAAGTTTTTCATTTAACAATGGTTGGAATCTGCTAATTAAGTATAGTGATCATTATCCACTTCGCCAATTCAGAAGTGTGATATTGATATTTTTCTTCATCGTCTCATATTCGGAACAATATTTCTATTAAACTAATAAATGCAAGCCAATCTCAGCCAGGAGTGAATGAATGACAATTATCGCATTAGTTCGTTGAGCCACCGCGAATCAGCCAACACCAGCGCAAGACAATTTGTTCGTTGTAAGCATTTTACCTATTGTTAAAATAAATCACTGTCTCAAAACAAAAAAAGTAATGAGAATTTAAAAAAGCGGGAACAATAAATTTTACAAAATTTTCTTGACATATTTTATGAGGTTTACTAGGTGACTTGAACAAAATATTACCAAAATAGTGGCCTCGTCCGATCTTGAAACATACTCAAGTCCGATTATAGGAATTGCTTTTTATGAAAATAATATTATAAACGCTATGTGTTCATGAACTTTGTCCAGTTATGGGGGATGTCCGGCTATGAGGACGGTTCGTAATAAGGAATTTCACTTTTACACATATCATTCAGATATTAACTGCTCCTCCTATTGATGCAATATTTTTAATGTATCTCGTTTTTTCCTTGCGAAAGCGTGTTCAGGAGGACACTTACACAAGTAGCAAACCTAGTGGGAGAGCCTAAAAAGTTTCGATTTTTTCGGAATAAATAATGCTAATGCTATATATATTGTACGTAATAATGACTTACGGCTGAAAAAATTACAAATTTATATATTGGCGGCGTTGTGAAAAATAATTAAATTTTACCTAACCGGTTTGGCCTGCCAAACTACGATTTATGTTCAGATCAGAACCGATTCGAAGTATTTGTCTCGGCCATTGAACTGGGCGGCTACATTTTAGAAGGCCGTAACTGAAAACATAATATCGGTTTAAAATTTTACTATGTGATTTTCAAATGTACAAACTATCCAGATTTAAAGAGATTTATTTTATTTCAAACTAGGTATGCCCCTTAAAAAGATGGTTGTGGTGTAATCTTGCAGTATCTGCCTTAATATATGAAAGTCTGTTTGTTAACAAAACCGAAAAATTCTTTGTGTTTCTATAAAAAAAAGTGTGGAGATAATTTGTATTCGTCTACCATTATTCCTCCAGAAAGCCATTTGATCCTTCTTTAACACACTCGGTTAAAAGGCACCCACCAACTTTCCTACGAAAATCCATTTGCAGAAACATAATAAAATTTATCATTTCGCAAATAATGAGACAACAGTAAATAATGTCGAAAATAAACTCCAACGAACTACTTACACATTGCGCTTTTGACAAAAAAAAAAAAAAATTACAATTGTTGTTGCCGCAAATCAATACATAAATAAATGTTGTGCTTTTCCACGCAGAAAATATGCGTAACTACAATGGAATGCTGGCGAAACGTGCCAAGCATAAAGAATGTAAGCGAAGCGGGATGAGCGCAGATCCGCAGGACAATGCCAACCATAAGGACTAGCTTATGATTATGTGTACGTATGGGTGCGTGTTTGTGGAGGCAAGTTAATGGAGCACACTTGGTGAGGCAGAATGTGGACGCAAATGCTGAGCGCACGCTCGCCAAACACATACCAGCACACGCTTGCTCGCTTGATATTCATGAGGGCTGTGCGCAGCAGATGGTTGCCGGCCAACAACAATGGTAAATAATGACAAACTACAAGCGCAAACAACGATAATAACTCGTTAGTGTTGTTAGAGAGAAGAAGAAGGATGCAAGCAAATAAAATGAATATATTTGTATTTGCACAGATGCAAAATGCAAACAGTTCGTCAACTAAACTTGACTGGCTTCAGCTAAAGCACTTCGCTGTTGTTTTTATTTTTGTTGTTGTTTTTGTTTTTATTTTGATGTGTAAGTGGCGCAAATACATTTTCTTTAACAGTTTTTGTGCAAGCTCAGTTGATCAGCCAACGAAGCGCAAGCGAGCCAAACGGAGCACAAAGTGCCTTTACTGACCTGACCCTTTCTTGCCTCAATGCAAAAAAAAAAACCAAAAAAAACTTTAAAACATATAAAAGTAAAACTAGTTGGACCACGCGTTCCCTTTGCTTTGCTGGATAATGAATAAATGTGAAAGAATATTGCTTACTAGTCCCCTATATATACACCATGTTGCTTGCAATTGTTTGCTTGTGTGTGCATAAATAAGTTTTCCACTGAGGTAGCGTCCACATTGAGATGCAAGTCACATGTGGCAGCGGCGTGTGCAAAAAAATTGATAGAAGCAGCAGCAAAAAGTGCTGCATGTATGGGTATTTTAACATGCAACGTGCCTCACACACACATACACACTCAGCAAGGCGAATCGAAAACGGTCATTGATGAGAGAGAGAGGCGTAGAGTGCAGTGGCTCAAAGCGCCAAGCAACCCACACGCTCAGTTCTTATTTTCCTTTTTGTCTTATGCAATATGCATGTGTGTACACACACACACACACACATACGTGAGACGTGCGCCTAGCTGTATGCCAGGGAAATCGGTCAGCCAGCGCTAAGTGGGGCATTCGGCGAGTACGCGCTTAGCATTCTACATCCATATGAGACACAAGGAAAGTTAAAAAACATAGTAAAAAAGACTAAAACTAAAAACAGCTCAGCTTGTGGGCAGCAGGGCACACATTACGTGCCGCACGACACTCGCCAGTGAGTCACAGGATTTACTGATTGCCTCAGTGGCCGGCACACTGTGGGGTGCATTTTGTCGTGAGCAAGCGCTCTTTTTTTCACCTTCATCACCATCGCTGCGACGCACTGCAACCGCACTAAGCTCTGTGGCACTCTGCTGCAATTGTTGCATGCAATAAAATACAGTTGTGCGCACATATGTGTGTGCTTAATATGTTTAGCTTGCGATTTGTATTCCSCTTTGTTGGCTTTTTTAGCTTTGACCATTCTCTGTTTTTCCTTGCCTGCTTCGCTGTAAGTTCTGCAATTCTTAGCTGTCAACTTGTTAATGGTTTCAGCAATTGGCGAAATCGCATAAATGGTTTCATGAGAGCGCTGTGAATTGCAAATGTGGTGATTAGCCAAGGAACCAAGTAAAATCTTCTACTTGTAAATATACAGTTAGTACTGGAAATGTAATTTTTTAGAACGTTACTTGATGAATCAAATATGACTCATTTTGGTAGACCACTTTTTGCCATTTTTCCGCTGGAGACATTATTCCATCAACGACAACTATTTTCACAGGCTTCTCTTGAAGCCAACTTTACTCCAATAAGGGATTTCTGCAGTGACCGAAACAAATGGTAGTCCGTTGGTACAAAGTCAGAGCTATGTGGTGGATGCATCAAAACTTCCCAGGCCAAGCACTTCCAGCTTTTCTGTTGATCAGTGCTGGCCGTTTTTTTCGATTGCTTGCTTCAATCTTATGAGTTGACAGTAAAATGTAGAGTCAATCGTTCGACCACGCTGGAGCTGGAGCAGCTCAAAGTGGATGATTCCTCTCCAATTCTAAACCGTTTGATGGTGGATGTTAAATTCGTTTACGATGTCAGGGCTGCTTATGTGACGGTCCTGGTCTATCTTTTCCATAATTCTATGAGCTCTTTTAATGATGGATCGACCAGAGCGAGGTGCATCTTTTACATCGAAATTTCCAGAATCGAAGCGACCGACACACAAACTAAGTAATACAGTATCATCTCCGTAAACTTCACAAATTTCATTGGTGTCTTGCGTGGCATTCCCATTTTTATACAAAAATTTCAAAATATAGCGATCATAAGTAATGATCGAGGACCTCCAACTGGCAAGGAGGTCGCACAAAGCTTGATTGGCCTTCCTTATATGGTTGGTGTGTGCCATTAAAAATATGTATATCGTCTGCAAAATCTAGATCTTCGATCCGTCTACTTATACTACAATTCCTTCCATTACGTTATCTAATATGGTTTTAAACGAAAGCGGTGCCAGAAATCAGCTTTAACGGATGTTCACCTCTACTTTTATTCGTTTACTGAGTTTTTGAGTGAAAGTTGATTAAGAATAGATAGAGAAAGGCGTCAATCAAGTAATTGTCACTGCCGGCGCAAACTACAAAAAATCTGCTTTTTATTTTGCTCAATTTCGGTATTCAAGTGCTCGATGCGCAACAGCATACTACCTTGCCAGATCGTACACTTTGGCTAATCGTCTTTCTTGGGAAGATTGAAGATCGTACCTTCTTTTAGAAATTGTGGTAGATCTCTGTAGGCTTAGAAGTAGCCAATTAAGTGTACCCAATTATGAGGTTTCAGCCTTTAAAAGTTCTGGTATTATGTTGTCATATCCATGTTGTTCAGTCTAGCTGCTTTATTTTTTTAAGCTATCCGAGTCCCCTTTATTGTGGTTTTGTTGATAAAATTATTTAAGATTGACAGGTTGTCTGACTTTCTTATACGATTCTGGTGTCGAGGGATTGACTGAGGCATCCGCAACTGCTAGCACACGTAAGTGAGTTTGCCAATGGGATGGCAGAGACATTATATTTGTTTTACTATCCCTGGTCCATCTTTCGTAATTTGTATGACGATTTTCTTGCTGAATTTCTATAACCACTTAATATATTTTCTCTGAAAGTTCTGTGTATGCTCGTAGACCTCCATACAATGACCTACCACATTTTACATCGGACCAAAAATTGAATTTTTGCTGGCCAAAAAAACTTTTGAATCGAAAAAACTTTTTGAAAACGCCACCGTTTCGTTAAGTTTTTTCCACGCTGCTCATTGTGCGGCCAATATTTTCTAGAGGTAACTTTTGGAACCGTGTGCTTAGACTATTTATGATATCCTTTTACACGACAGTTGGGTCTAAGTAACCGGAACGTAACCGAATTTTTATCCGACCAAAGGCTCGGCACCATTCCTCAAAATTACTTCAGAAATGTTTTATGCCGTTACAACGACAACAGCCATTTTTATACCAGTTTCATAAGAATTAATTGCAACAAATGCTCCACAAAAATCTCATTTTATATAAGAAGCACCGAAATCTAACAATACCACCCATAACGCGCCCACTGAGGCTTCCTTACTCTCTCAGCGCCTCTAAAATGTGAAAGTAAAGCTTTGTACATATGTAAAACACATAATAATGAAATAAAAATAAAATTAAACTAAGTGCAACAATTGCAGATAAACGTAAACATTTGCGAAAACTAATAATAACAACAACCGCTGCACAGCTTTGGTGTTGCAACTACAAAAGGCTTCAATCGCAATGCGAGTAAACGCTTTAAATGCAGCTGTTGTTATTGCAATTGTTGTTGGTACTGCTTTGCTGCAACGCTGCTTGCCACTGACAGTGATGTAGTGTCGAGACAGAGGAGCAGAGCAAACCACAGCAACGGCAACTAAGTATGACGGCTAGGCAGAGCAACAAACACACGTACAAAATTTCCATAACAATACACGTGATCGAGAATGCATGTGTGTGTGTGTGTGTGTGTGTGTGTTTGTGCGCATTGCAACATTGTGCTGATATTGCCATTGTAAGTTAAAAGTTTTCACCGCAGCCAATGATTTCCAACGACCAGCAAAAGCAACAATTTCCAGTTTATTTTTGTAGAAAGCAAAAATATCCACTAAAGTTTAGTTAAGCGCTTCGCACTGATTCAGAAACGTGTGTGGATAATCCAGTTGTTGGTAGTGAATAAAGGCAAATAATGGACTGAATTCTATTCGGGTGCAATTCCGACTGCCATTCATGTAATTGTTAATGGGAAGGTGTTGTTTGGTTGAAGCCAGTTGTAAATCACAAAAAAAGATTTTCGTTTATTTTGGAATTTTGTTTAGTAAGAAGATAATAATTACTATGCCGGAGTCTTATACTTCGCTTCCAATCCGGTCAGTAAAATTCGAATGCTTTCTTGAAATGATCTTTCTTGCTTAGTTGATCTGGGTCCCATCCTCTTCTACTTTACTGGCGAGACATTTACATATTTTAAAATCTCTACCAATCCTTTCCATAAATATTATGACATCGACATGGCAGAGCCATGCCATTCATACTACTACGTGCAACAGATAGCAATACTTTTCAATTTGAATTCGCGTGTAAACCCATTCGTGGAACATTTTTTTCTAGGTTGGTTGCCTTTCAGTGACATCTGTGCCAATATCACATCAAAATACGACCAGGACAGCCATCTACATCAACTGATGCTCAACAAGACAATGAAATAAAGGAATTAGTGCTTGAGGATCGACAACTAACAGTTCGAAATCTTACTTGCATCGTTGGAATTGCAGAAGGATCACTGAAAACCATTTTGAAATATCATTTGGGCCTAAGAAAATTAAATCACGATTGCTTCCAAAATAACAAATTTTTTTTTTTTTTTCAAAAAACAGCGTCGCGTTAACATCTGTGAAACAATGCTTTCCGACTACCAGGATGTCATGAAACGTATTATTGCTGGCGATGAGTTTTTTAACTATGATTATGACTCAGAAACCAGCGATCAATCGGACGTATATGGTGGCAAAGATTAAAGCCCAGGGGGATTACGTTGAGTGAGACAGCATAAATTCTGTGGAAAATATGAACCCACGTGAGCAAGTGCTCCATGGAATACTAGATCAGGAGGTAAAAAAATTAAAAAAAAAAAACTCTCAAACAGAAATAATTAAAATATTAAATACAAATTCAAACAAGCAGTCTGTTGCTGAAACAAACCGCTTGAAGCCACATAATCATCGTGTGGCTAGTGAAGTTGTCGTTATTTTTTCGATGTGGCAAACAGTTGGCCGAAATCGCATTTGAAAATTGCTGCTGGTGGCCAACAATTCAACAAGAAACTTTTGCGCCCTTACAATGTCGTTGTAATCTCCTTCCACACAACATTACTGCGCTTCTTCCTTGATACGCGCACAGACTTACGTCAGCAGCACGCGCTCACGGCTGCTGCTCCGTAGCCGAAGTTTTTCTAACGGAAGCGGAAATTTCCAGTTTGTGGTTAGTTTTTTAAGCTACAAGTTTCATCGAATTTTTTCCTTCTTTTTCGTTCGGCAAAAGTTGTGAAATTACTTTTTTCATGCGTGCACGTGTATGTGTGCCTGTGTGTGGCGAGTGGCAGGCTTAAGACGCATCCTAAACTGTATCCATCCTTTGCGTTGCCGCAATTAGTGTGTTAGTTTATTTTCGTCCACAGATTTTGTAATTATTTTGTTGTTTTGTTGTTGCTGTTTGTTGTAGCCATAGAAGCTTGAAACTTTTAAATTTTTAATGGGCACCACTGGTGCATAAGTGCAGACGCCACTTTGCAATTCAATTTGTACACTTTTATTGTTGTTAGTTTTGTTGTTGTTTTGTATTTGTATAATGACAACACTAATTTGGCAACACTTCAAAAATTGCCGAAAATGGCGTTATTTTGTATGTTTAACTCCTTAATAATTGCTCCCTCTCTCTTCCTCCTCCCTTTACAGTGCATGAAGGCCTATGTGGACTTTGAAATTACCGAAGGCGCTTACGAGATCTCGTGTCCCGATGCTCAATGCCCGGCGCAAGGCATTATGACACTACCCGAAATCGCCAACTTGACGACGACCAATCTGATGAAGAAGCATCATCGATACCGACTCAATAAAGGTAACATATTTTCTGCTATTGGTGGCCCTAACTTACAAATTCAATTTTCATATACGAAAGATTACAAAAATACTAAACCTTTTACCTTCTTTCGCTTAGAAATCGAAATGGATAAGACGCGCACCTGGTGTCCGCGTGCTGGCTGCGAAACGGTTTGCCTCGTCGGCGTAGGTCCACATTCCGATGCCACACCGTCCACCTCGACCGGCGGTGGCAGCGGTGGCACACACACAGCCACTTTCACTGACAGCCAAGGCGCACAACAGTCGCTCTGCGCCGTGCAGTGTCCATCGTGCAAAGATGAGTTTTGCTCGGCCTGCAAGAAGGCGGTAAGTACTTGTGACACTCGCTTCAGCTGCCAACCTTTATGTTGTGCGATGGTTGTACCTATCCATTTGTGCTTTAATTTTTTTTTTATTTTCACCTTTTACAATTTTTTTTTTGTTTTGTTTTTCAGTGGCATCCGAATATGACTTGCGAGGAGAACAGTCGTCGCTTGGTGGCGGACGGCCAGGATGACATTGGCATACCCTTCGACAATGACCTCATCAAGTGTTGTCCCATGTGCGCTGTGCCCATCGAGAAGGACGAGGGTTGCGCGCAGATGATGTGCAAACGTTGCAAGCACGTCTTCTGCTGGTACTGTTTGGCCAGTTTAGATGTGAGTAAACAACCCCCCCCCCTCCTAATGAAAGTTAAATATTTCAATAGAGCACTTTTCCTAACATTTACGAAATGACCCAAGTTGATAGTGAAAACAACCGTTATTAGTTGATTTCAGTTATGGGCTTTAAGTGTTTGCTTTCGGCTGAAATTGCAATACTTAAGAATGCAATGTTGACTGACCTGCTTTTTTGAAAGTTTTCCCTTATGATTTTGAAAGTCGAAATGCGGACGGACCAACATACAAATTAGTGAAGATACAGGCGCGAGATATTGAATCGATTGATGTATCGACTCTCTGTCTTCTCTGGCCTTGAGTTATTTGATGATTTGACTGGTTGAGGTGCCTAACCACACTGGAATGACAAGAAACTGGAAGACTGTGGAGATTGTTAGCGTAGATACTTTTGTCTGACTAGCTGCGGAATGGGAAGGCGTAGGAGCTTCACTCGCTTTTTGGCGTTAACTGGGTCAATGGTTGAGCCTCAGTTGAGCTCATAAGCACTAGTCAGATACTGGAAACACGGATCTCACAGATAGAAATATAATACCTAGCGATAATAGCTTATATTCACAAACCCTCGATGTCGTGATCAATAATGATATACAGGGTTTGTCCTGAAAGTAATAGGACTGGTTTTCTTCCGCCGTGACTGTAACGAAAGAACGATTGGTCAGTTGTTTCCAAGCAGCTGGAGAGCCCGGACAAACATTTTCGTGCGATCTGTCTCTGTGAGTGATGCAAGCCAAAAATACAGCGTTCTTTAGAGTAGAGGTACGGGATTAAATTCTGTGTGAAACTCTGTAAATCTGCGACAGAGACGTTTGATATGATCAAGTAGGCTGACCCAGATATTGCTTTAGAAAGAATGGTGTGCTTCGGTGGCATCAGACCTTTTTGGAAGCCGAGAAGAGGTCGCTGATGAAGATCGGAAGAATGAGTAAATCCAAAGTTAATACCATGCTATTTTTTTTTTTTTTTTTTTTTGACATCGAAGGCATCTGCTACCATGAATTTGTTCCTCCTGGACAAACCGCCAACGCCAAGTTTTACGTAAAAGTCCTCATGAAACTCAAACGAAGAGTCAGTCGGGTTTGAAAAGATATTGCAGCCGATTGGAAGTTGCACTACGACAACGCCCTTTCTCACACCGCCTTTCTTGCGAACAGCCCTACGGCCCAGATGTGAACCCCATGCACTTTTCTTTGTTTCCTTGCCTGAAAATACCGATCATAAGCAAGCATTTTGAGACCACAGAGGTGATCCAAGCAGCATGCACCTCGGCTCTGAAGGCTATTCTGAAGAATACCTTCCGTGACGCCTTCAATGGAAATACCATTGGCAGGGCTGCATAGACGCAGAAGAAGCCTATTTTGAAAGTTTTTAAGAATTTTAAGGATTGGTTCTATAAATTTTTTTCAATCGGCTCAGTCCTTTTACTTTCCGGACAAACCCTGTAGGGTGCTCACAATCACTTTTGCAAACGATTCAGGTCTTTTTGGTCTGGCTTTGACACGCTTCAAAAAATTAACCAAACTATTTTGAGTTATTATTCTTATAGTCATTCACTCTTTCAATTTTGCTTTAAACATATTTGTCTCTCTCTCTGCTTCATCCTTACAGGACGACTTTCTGTTGCGTCACTATGATCGTGGTCCATGTAAAAATAAGCTCGGACATTCCCGTGCCTCTGTGGTGTGGCACAGAGCACAAGTGATTGGCATTTTTGCTGGTTTCGGTATATTGTTGTTGGTCGCTTCACCACTGCTACTACTGGCGGCACCCTGTATTATATGTTGTAAATGCCGTAGTTGTAGCGGTGCACGGATCGATGAGGGTGATGCCGAGCTGGACGAGGCGACAGCGTTACAAAGGTGAGCAACTGATCTTTTATTATGTGTTGTTGTTTTATAGCATTTAATTTTTCAGTTCCAATAAGTAATGCAAAACTTTATTTGCTCTCGTATTTTCAGTCTTTAGAAGGCATCGACACACCGAAAACCCGAACTTGGACCAAAAATCTAAGGCACTATCGAACTAACAGGAAGCTCTGAAGTACTTCTTACCACATAACGGGAAAATATATAAAGTAAAAACGTTATTTGCGAATCACTTACTAATTGCTGATTTTATATAATATGTATAACAACACTTATATCAGTATCTATGTAGGTATATGTATGTGTACATAGTTGTAAAAAAGTAAAATTGTGTACACAAAATAAGCAGAATCCTTAACCGGCTTGACAAAGTTATTTGTTTTAAATCATAAATGTGTTGCGATGTGCGAAAAAGCCAAATCCCAAAAAAAAAAAAAAAATTAAAAACAATATTTTTCTTTTACGATATGCAATAAACAACAACAAACACAAAGAATAGCGCATGTTGGATTACCATGGATTTGTGGAGGGATCAATGCTGATTGGTTATTTGTTTTCATGCATTACATAATTAGCGGATTCAAGCTAATATTTGCACAGGCTTATTTGTTACGTGCATATTTTTAAAATATGTATTGAGTGGATTATTGAGAGATTAATTAAAAATTTTCTGGATTTTTTCTAATTTTTTTAAATTTTTAGCTTGTTGCTAGCCATGAAATTTTAATAAAACTTTATATTTTTGTTAGCCAAGCATTTTTCATAAAATTTTTTAAGTAAAAATATTTTT